CTTCTGAAACGGCTGACCTGGGCGGTCAGCTGCCCAGACCTCCTTTCTTTTCTTTTCTTCCTTTTTTGCCGGCTGGGTTGTCCGGCTGTCTTTCCTGTCGGACCGCTTGGGATCCGACGGGTGCTTGATGGCACAGAGTTCCGTCGCCTGTATATAAGCTTCGGCCTTCATCAGTGCCTCCTGGAGGGAAGCAACCCTCTTTCGAACTAAGTCGAACTTGAAAGTTGACCCGTCCTTCAGACCCTTGAAGAAGTCTGTGTATGCAACTTCGTCAGACATCCCTTGTATCTGAATTCTCATCAGATTGAACCGCCTGACGTAGGACCGGAGTCCCTCCTTGTCACCCTGCTGGATAGCCCCTAGATCAAGACTTGTCTTTTTAGCAGGGATGTTCATGGAGAAGTTGGACGCGAACAGGTAGGCAAGCGTCCTGAAATTATTGACGCACCCAGCCGGCAGGTTGCCGAACCATCGTTGGGCTCTGCCCTTCAATGTAGCTGGGAAGTATCTACACCAGGCGGCGTCATCCAACCCCTGTAGGTACATGAGATTGGTGTATGCCATTAGGTGGTCTTCTGGGTTGGCGGTACCGTCATAGGCACCAACCAAGACGTTCTTTATCTAGGCCGGCTGTGCCGCCTCGGTTATTTCCCTGGAGAAAGCCGAAGGCTGTTCCCCAAGGTTTTGCAGCCGAAGCTGCCAGTCCATAGGCTGGACTTGATATGCCGCCTGACCTCCAAAGGGGGCCGACTACATGAAGGGAGATCCATAAGGTGCGTATTGCTGGTGGGGCACATACGGCAACTGGTGGATTACATGAGGAGCAGTTCGTACGGACGTGCCATGTGACTGACTCCCCTGCTTTGCCTACGAATACTTCAGAGAGGTATTGCGGAATTTGTCTGGGTATGTCGACGTAGAAGCCGACTGAGACATGCTCTGACTTCTCTTATCCTGGATGAACATTCGGGCGTCAGAGAAAGTCTTCTTGGACCCATCCGGCTGTGTATTCCGGATGGCCTTCCTTTGCCCTGATTCAGGGAAACGGAGTTTGGTGAGGTCGATCAGGGGCCCATCTGCTCCCTTGGGCTTGGGATGAGGAGTAGGCACCCGGTCTTTAACTAGCTTTTTCCCAGAGGGAGAAGGCTTCTTTGTCGACTGACCCTTGTTGGTACCAGTCGACTTCTTGATTATGTCGGTTATCTCCCCTTTGAAACTCGTCATGAGGCTCATGAGTTCGTCTCTGGTGACGGGGGTAGTTCCCACCGCCGCCTGGGTTCGCCCAGCAGGCTTTCTGCCTGGGTTGCTGGGACCAGCTTTATCCTGGACCCGTTCCCTCGTTTCCTTGGAACGGATGCGCCTGGATCGAAATGACCCGTCTGGGGCCATATAGGTTTCAACTTCGTAATTGTCGCCACTGACACTTTCGTGGTCCGTATGGACCTCAGGTTCACCCGTAGGATGGCTGACCCCTTCAGGCGGTACAGTATCAGATGCCATCTCAGAAGTACTCTACCCACAGACGGCGCCAAATGTTTCGGGGTTTTCTGAGTCCCTCGGGAGAGTTACAATCCTGAGTATGCACGCCTGAGCGAATGTACCTGCAAAAGCACAGAGACTCCGCTTGGGTGGAGTTCCGCCTCTGACGATCAAGTTAGTATCTGGACGGAGGAATAAAACTTACGGAAATGGTAAATATTCCCCCTAATTCAGAGAGATTCCGCAATTAATTTTGCTCGGTTTTTTGTGTTTGAATTTGTGTGTCCCCATAAATGAGAATCTTCCTACTATTTATAGTGGGGAAGACATGCACCCTAATTAGGGCTTTAATGCCACGTGTCAGCATCCGATTGGATCCCGTTGGACCACTGAGGTGCTGCCACGTGTCATCATGCTATTGGGCCACATGGCCTAGGGTATTTTTACCCTAAACACTGGCAATTTCTCATATATATATTTCTTGCCATGTTTTTCTGCCATGAGGCATAAACATTCCTTTTGATCCACTGTCATTGTTTCTAAATGAAAGCCATTTTGATGCACATCTTTAAAACTTATAGATTTCTTCGAGATTTACTCGAATATAGACCATCGTTAATTTTTAACTTAATTCCATTTGGGAGCATTATACAAGCTTTTTCAGAACTTTCTATTAGCTTGGGTGACCCAGAAATGGTGTTGACATTTTCTTGAAACATTGTCAGTTTTAAAAAATATTTTCTATATTTCAAAATAATGTATGTTGTTCCACTGTCCAAAAGGCATTGATATTTGGAACCAACTTCAGGCAGATCCATATCTTCATAAAATAAGTATGAGATTAGTTTAGAATAATTGAAATGAACTTACTTTATTCATAATGGAAATTAATAGTACATAACTCGAATGAAAAATACAAAATCAAAGTACATAATACATGGCATAATAATAGATGAATTATCTAAACATTGTTATTTTCTCCATAGATAAAGTAACTACCATTTTCAGTATTGTCTATTAAGAAATGACACATCAAGGCTAGGTTTAGGGGCATTTTTTTCATTAACATAATTTGCTTCGGCATTTTTTCCTTTGCCTTTTATGGGATGCTCGATATAGTTCTACCAAATGTTTGGCCGTATGACAAGTACGTCCCCAATGCGCTGTCATGCCACATCTATAACATGTGTCTTTCCCTTTTGTGGTGGCTTGATTTTTGTTTTCTTGTTGATGCCCTTTTTGAGTGTTGTTTCTAGGGGAGAAATGGCCTCAACCATGGCCACGTTCGTGAAAATTTCCACGACCTCTGCCGCGGTTATTATCACTACTACATTTTTGACCTATTACAACCCCCAAATCCGTTGCATTAGGCGTCAAATTCCGTGGCATTAGGCCTAATGCAACGGCCATGTACCGTGGCATTTGCTGGCGTTGCAGTAGGTCTATTGCAACAGTATACAACACCTAATACCACGGCAGCTATAAGCCGTTGCGTTAGCTCTACACTTGATGCCACGGCATAAATTATCCGTTGCAATAGATTACTGACTACTAATTAGATGAAATTGACACCTATTGCAACGGATGAAGCTAATTAATACAAATGATATATGGAGTACGTATCTACTGCAACGGATTGATCATTTGATCTTTTTTTTTTGAATGGAACGGTAATATATATAATATATGTATAAATAGTCAATACAAATCTAAATATACGAAGAAACAAAATATCATTAAATTTATATATAATAATTATAATGCTAAATACGTACATTATAAAATATTAGTTGCTTGTTTTTTGTACGACACCCTACTAATAATAAATAAAAGTTATATAATTAATTTAATCCTCCAAAATACAAATTAAATTGTCAACATATATATAAGCTAGAATTTCCAAATCTTCACAAAGTTGAACTTGAATAAGAGTCGCCAACCTATGCACCATTTGTTAGATGACTAGCTATACTTCAGCTCACTATACTTCAACTCCATTTAGCTCCCCATGCACCTACACGTAAAATAGAATAAAATAATAGATAGAACTAAATTATAAATAATAATAGATCAAGGCCACAATCAACATGAGAAAAGTTCAAAACGCACGGAGAAATCAGCTATACAATAATACTCATGTTAGACTGCAGGCCGCAACACAGCAGAACCCTAAACCAGAGCTGCTGATCTGCCATTATCATATCCAACACTGAAACCAAACCAGAAGCGGCAACCAGCAGCAACCATAAGCCAAATAAGGAGGGGACACACCAAACACATTTTAAAAACAATAAACCAGGGCAACCAGCTATCCATACAACGAGTAAAAACAGCCCCCTCCCTTTCACATCAATTTCCCCTATTTTACCGACTTTCAAGAATGCAATATTCAGAAGAACAACAACTAAGTCTGCTCTCCCTGTAACCATTTTTAACAACAAAATTGGGTGTTTGGATCAAAATAAAGACAAATTTAGAGCACTAGATGTCCTATAGTTATCAAAATCAACATAACAACCAACATAAACATCCCAACATTGCAGCAGCACAAAAGCTTAAAGAAGTCACATTTTGACATTGATCTGAGATTGTTTTTTATTGTTTATATATCTTGTCACTGTTTCCAAGTTAAAAAATCTTATTTTTCTTCAAGATATGTCCAAAGAATTGCACTTAAATATTCTGTCAGCACACTACTACTTTCAATTTTCTTTCTTTCATCTAATTGCAATCTTCCAATTTTACCAATTATGAAGCAGAGCGACCTCAGTAAATAAAGCTGCACTATTTTTTTCTTCTGCTTCATACGTAGTACTTCATATGCTCATAATTTTTTTTATTATATCTTACTTCATTCATAATCTACTTTTTATATTTATGCTGATTATATTATATGAAACCTATAGCCGTTAACTGAGTACCCTGTGTGCTTTTTGGCAACGTGAGAGGGACCTTTTGATAACCACAAAATATGGTCTTGGATATTATCATGGCCTTCTTTAAGAATCAAATCAACTTTCTCCCTAAACCATTCCATGAAATCCTTGCTATGGTCTTGAGCACTTTTCCATTTTCTTTTCCTTTTAGCACTTACACAAATCTTATGCTCACTGTAAAAATAAAATATTTATCTTACTAAGGCGACAGAGTTAGAATGAAAACATTAAATAATAATAATAATAATAATAATAATAATAATAATATATTATGGTTACAAATCTTACCTTATATATTTCTCAACTTCCTCACAATCACAATTGAACAAGACATAACGATGCGCTTGTGCCCATGTAATGCGATCAATTATGTGTCCACGATTTTTTTCTTTGAGGTCCTTCCTTTTCCTTTGATAGGACGTCCTAACTTAGGGAAAAATGATTTTGAGGTACCACACTCATTAACTTCGGGTGTGTCTTTGCTTGGTCGTTTCAAAAATCTAGCTATGAAAGCAACACATTCTTTAGCTTGGTATCCTTCTGCCATTGAGCCTTCTGGGCGAGCCTTGTTTCGAACATCTTGTTTCATTTCATGAAGATTCTTCTCAATTCATACATACACCTTGAACTCACAGGTCCACCCAACTTAATTTGGTCTACTAAGTGTATGGGTAAATGTTCCATTATATAAAAAAAAGCAGGTGGAAAAATCCTCTCAAGTAGGCATAGAGTTTCAACTATCTCAGATTGCAATTTTCCAAGACCTCGAGGATCAATAGTTTTACTCCATATACCTTTGAAAAAAGCACAAAGTCTTATCAAAGGACTAGCAACATCTTTGAGTAATGTTGTCTTCACAGCAATTGGAAGAAGATAATTCATCATAAAATGAGCATCGTGGCTTTTGTAGCCTGCTATTTTCCTTTCTCCAACTTGCACACAACGACTAAGGTTGGAAGCATAACCTTGAGAAAGCTTAGCATTTTTTCTAACCTGGCAGAACTTACGCTTTTGCTCCAATGACATCCAAAAGCGAGATCTTGGAAATTCTTCACTACCATCTTCTAATTCTATTGGTTGGAGCTCTGGCATCAGATTAAGTTCTACCAAATCTCGACGAGCACTCACATTATCCTTGGTCTTCTGAGAAATGTCTAATAACGTCGCAATGACATTATCAAAGACATTTTTCTCAATATGCATTACATCAAGATTATGGCGATTAGAGCAATGCTTCCAATATGGCAACTCAAAAAATATGGGTTTCTTTCTCCACGGAGTCGGATCATCCACATCACGCCTTGGTTTCTTTTGCTTCTTTCCAAATGCATTTGGAAAATCACACAACATATTCTCAATATCAATTCCATTCAATGGAATAGGTTGACATCTTTCCTCAAGTTTTCCGTCAAAATTCCTCTTATCATGACGCCAAGGGTGAGATGGATCCAAAAATTTACGATTTGACCTATACACATTCTTACCACTACAAGGAAACCACTCGGAATCTGCTTCGTAATGACATTCAGGGCATGCCAAGTATCCTTTTGTGCTCCACCCAAACAACATTGCATAACCCGGAAAATCACTCACGGTAGTCATCAATGCTACATGCATGTCAAACCTTTGATTAGTCGAAGCATCATAAGTTTCCAACCCAAACTCCCACAAACCCTTTAAGTCCTTGATAAGTGGCTGCAAATATATGTCAATGTCATTTCCAGGGGAAGACGGACTGGGAATTAGTAAGGCTATCATCAAATACTCGGGCTTCATAATCATCCAAAGAGGCAAGTTATAATTAATCAACATAAGTGGCCATGTACTATGGACAATGCTCATTGAGTTGAACGGGCTAAATCCATCTGTAGCTAACCCAAGTCTCACATTGCGTGGGTCATCATCAAACTTTGGATATAAAGAATCAAATTCCTTCCAAGCTTGACCATCAACTGGATGATGTAAAAGATGATCATTTTCACGCCCATTAGCATGCCAAGTCATGTATCTCGCCGTCTCTTGACACATAAATAGTCGTTGAAGCCTTTTCTTTATTGGAAAGTACCTAAGAATCTTTTGAGGAATCCTATACGTCTTTCCATTTTCATTTTGTATGTCATTCTCTGTGTCAGTTGATTTCCATCTTGGCGTCTCACAAACATGGCAGCTTGTTGCATTTTCATGCTCTTCCCGGTATATCATGCAATCATTTGGGCATGCATCTATCTTAGTGTAATCCAACCCCATCACTTTCAAAACACTTTTTGCTTCATTAAAAGTAGTTGGCAGTTTTGCATCAGGTAACACCTCCCTTATAAGCTCCAATATATCTCCAAAAGCAGCATTAGTTAGCTTATGATCACACTTCAAAATAAAAAGTCGGATCATGAAGGAAAGTTTTGAATGATTTTTACAACCGACATACAATTCTTCCTGGCCCTCTTCAACTAACTTAACAAAATTTTTTGCCTCGTCATTTGGCTCATTTGTAAAAGCATCACGTGCATCATGCAACAACCCTACTATGTCATCATTAAAATCATTTGGGTTTGACCCTTCATCATTATCCAAAATAGTTTGTTCACTTTCAATGCTAATGCTGATCCCTAACTCTGATAACTTATCCGTTCGAGGAACAAAACCATTACAAATAAGGTGATCTCTCACAACACTTTCATGACGCCAAAAACGATAATGACAACTTTCACAAGGAAAACAAATTTGATTTCCTTGAGACTTAAAAGCAAAAGCCTTTTGTACATATTCATCTACTCCCCGCTCATATTCATCACTCCATTTGGCAAACATCCACCACTCTTTAGTTCCACTATCCATACCTTAGGATAAGAATTAAGAGGGTTACTTTAATTAGTTTTTACTGTAAAAACATTTAATCAATTCACTAAGAATTAAGAGAGTTACTTTAATCAATTAGAAAGAACTGACAATAAAATCTTCTTTACAACCACTAGGAAGAAAGAGAACCACTCTAAAAATCAGAATACTTAAAACTAGTGTATTTCTATTGCCAAGGACAACTATATCAAGTGTAATAAGCAAGGAGTATCAAAGTTATTTTCATACAAATTTATGACCCACTTTACATTAATCTAGTAACAATGAAAAAGAAATGAGATATTAAAAAGAGGCAAGTGTAATTAGCAAGGAAAGTTAAAAAGCCTTAAACTAATAATATTAGGGGAGAACCCATATCAAAGTATAATCATTCTTCTAGTATTTTGAGAGCCACCATCAAATAAACAATACAAATCAAGATAAACCATATTTGCAGAAACTGCTTGCCTCAAACCCTTCTCATGCGAATTACGTATTCAGACCCAGACTTCTAAGCCTCTTTTAAAGCCCTCAGTGCAGCTATTATTCACACACACACAGACAATGATACACATCTAAAGATTGAATAACAGTAATTTCCAATAATTTCTGTTAAATCTAAAGGCTTTGGGTGACTTCTTTAACTAAATACTAAATAGGAGTAAAAATGCCTAACCCATCAATGTCAGGGTAGTAAAGACTACTAGCCAAATAAGGGTTGACTTGTTTGACATTGCAAAACGAAGGATAGACAAAAACAAGAACAAGTAACTAATGAATGGAGGTTTAACCATAAAGGGATCGGAGGACACAGATTACACACCAAATAGACTAGAGTATGGGCAACGAAAAACAAGGAAAACATAAAAATACTCGAAGGCCAGTTGGATATGCTTGAGTAAAAACTATAAATAAAGTTGGCTATATAAATAGTTTCTGACAATTTAGAGATCCAAGTTTCTGACTATTACATGAAAGACAAATAAAAAACAGTGAGACAAAAGAAGCACAATCAATATAGAAAACATAACTTATAATATTCATTAGCCTCTCATAAGCAGCACATCAAAAAAGAACAGGCCTGGCAAGGCAAAAAACAGAGAGGAAAGTAGACATAAAGCATAATTACATAGCATAAGAGAAATATAATGCATCATTAGACTATACTTAGAAAATATACATAGCAGCAAGGTAGTGCTGATAAACCCAAAAAAAAACCTAAACACCACCATAGAGAAATCAGTTCTTGTAGATTTAGAAGTTACAGAATCATCAGCATGCATCTTCTGGTCTTCTTTTTCTTCCCAGAAGAAACAGGGGCATCTATAGCCATACGAATGCCCAAAGCAGCTAGCTAATGAACCATATACAACAACACACTAGTGACTCTGAGCATCACTAATTGTCACAACCTGAAAGAGCTACCTTCTGATTTGTGTATGTTAGATTCACTACAAATCCTGAGAGTCTATGCTTGCCCCAATCTAAAAACTCTGCCTCCTGGGATATGCCAGCTTGTTTGGTTAAAATACCTTGAAATCTCTCAATGTGTCAATTTGGTATGTCTCCAAGAAAAATTTAGCCTAGCTTTCCATCTAAGGTTAACATAAAGAACTTGTGTAGAGTCACTAGTTAGTTATTGTTATGATAGTAGATCATTTCAAACTAAGATTTGGAATGGCTACTCTTAATGGTGGTAAAAAGGAAGATAACGGTGGTTGTGATGGTGGTAGTGGTGGTGGTGGAGTGGTTTCACATTTGGAATCGCTGAGTGTCTGAAAATAGTGGCAGAAGTAAGGTCAGCAGTGAAGGGAGAGGAGAGAGAAGAGCGCCATTGTCAAGCTAGCTTCCTTCATTTAACAAAGTTTGGACCGGAATTTGTGATTTGGCAATATCATCCTACTAATTTTATAAAACCCAAAATGAGCGCCTCATTGGTGAAGCTGCGGATCTGCCAAGAATCAGGCTAGTGTAAACTCACCAATACTATATACGGTACTCTTTCTCTTCTAAACATGATTATCTTCAATATAATTACAACTTCAATTACAAGTTACTCGCACTGTTTGTCTGTTTACATTATAACCTTTTGGTAAACTAAATTACTACTTAGCTTGTACATCTTAGATTTATTTGAATAGACTTAAGTTAACTTGTTGGCAATTGTCATTTACTTACCTTGTATGTTCTTTTAATAATTATAAGTAATTGTAGATCTTAAAACTTTCATCAGCCTGTGAGACATAACTACAGATAAGTTTGAATTAATAAGTAAAATCATTCTCTTTGTTTTAATTGATATAAATAAGTATAAGTAATTCAAAGTTCACTACAAACAATTCAGATTCGGTAAAAGGAAAATAAAACAAGGCTAATGTGAAAAAAAGAAGAAAGAATTTCAGATATATTGTAAGTAGGAAACAAGTACTTGAAATGTATTTTAAAAAGTTTAAAACAGGTTATACTATTTCCCTTTCTTGTTACAAATTTTATTGAAAGTTAGAAGGATGCAAATGGAATTTGGTATGCATTGAATACCAATCTAAGAGTTTTAAAACCAATGAAAACTTTGTATACAACTATTTGTTCAATCGAGGGATGTTTTGATCTAGATTGGTTAACAGACTGAGTTATATACACCTGCAATTATGAAAAAAGAAATTTCGGCCACCAATTATCAAAAATAAATAGTCAGAAACTTGGATCACTAAAGTCTTACCCCATGAACCAAATCAGCCACCCCAAATCAATATATCTTCTTATCCATTTATATGAAATTCCCCCAAAAAACCCCATTAGACTACTCAAATACAATATTCAGTACTTCTAGGTTTCAAAAATAATAAAATAAAAAAATCAATTTTGCTAAACGAAACCCATTAGCCGTTTAATTCCAAGAGTTACCAGAGCAGAAACTTCATCTTCCATGGCATCAAATACAAATACCCAAACACAAAAGCAAAAACTTCAAATTTAATTAACCCAAAACGAAAACTCGTTGAATACCTTGAATAGAATTTCGAGTAATCAGCTCAAGGAAGGGACATGCAAGATGAAATTGAGACCGTCTGTGCCGCTATCAGCCACCACCGCCTGACTGCCGCTATCAGCCACCACCGCCGGAGTGCCGCCTTCGTGATTTCTTTGCTTATTTTCCTCTTAGAATTTTTGAGTTTTTTTTTTCGTGATTATCGTCTCAAAATTTCGAAGTATTTCTGGAGAATTTAAGCAAATATGAGAATCTGAGAAGATGGGGAAAATGGAGAAAATGGGGAAAATGGTATTGTGAAAATGGTACTCTATAATCAATTAAGGTGAGAATGGGGAAAATGGAGAAAAAGGGGAAAGGTACTGTACGTGAGAATTGTGAATAGAGGGAAGCAAATTAAAGACACGTGTTGTTCAAAATATTTGGTGAAAAAAATAGAGGGAAGAAATGCGCGCTTCATTCTAAATTTTTCATGATACAACACATACCGTTGCAATAGCTCTTTTGTTAAAATAGCTAGGCTATTGCAACGGTTCTTTAGAGCCGTGGCAATAGCTCTACCTCTAAGAACATTAGTGTTAAATCCGTGGCAATAGCCTACTCTATTGCAACGGCAATTAAAATACCGTTGTATTAGCCTTTATTAGGTCGTTGCATTTGGTAAAAAATGTAGTAGTGATATATTTTCCACGTCCACCTCCATAACATTTGTCTCGGGTGGATTTGAGCTTTCTACAACATTTGTTTCATTAAATGCTTGAGACCCAGTTGGTCCTAGGTTAGGATTCTTCAACACAAGATCATTATTCTTTTCAACAACTAGTAATGTAGAAATAAGCTCAGAATATTTTACAAAGCCTCTTTCATGATATTAATGTTGCAATACAATGTTGTTAGCATGGAATGTAGAGAGTGTTTTCTCTTTCATTTTCTCTTCAATGACTGGTTGATTACAATATCTCAATATTGATACAATTTTATACAATGATGAATTGTAATCACTAACAGATTAAAAATCCTGAAATCTCAGGTTTGTCAAGTCAAACAGTGCTGAAGGAAGGAGAACCCTTTTGTGGTAATCATACATTCCTTTGAGGCTATCCCGCAATTCTTTGGGATTTTCCAACATTAAATATTTAGTTTTTAAAGTGTTATGTAAATGATGCCTCAAGAGAACTATAACTTTTTCTTTCTCTTGTCAATGGGAGTTTTGACTTGAGAAGAGGCATCTTCTCCGTTCCCTGGAATCGTAATTTCTTTAATTGTATGTTCCAATCCTTGAGCCTTTAAATTCATTTGGGCATCAACTTTCCATTCAAGATAATTATGTTCGGACAAATCTAATACGTCAAATTATCTTTTCATCAAATCTCTCATCTTAATTACAATCAAATAGATAATTATTATTAAGCTAATTAAACAAGTGATAATTAAAGTAACTAATTATAATCATAATAATAAGTCATTTAATCATATTTTGCTTCTCCCTCTTAGATTATTATTATGAGTTACGTATAATTAAGCTAATAAATCATGATAAGTACGTTAAAATATAGCAACAACAACAACATCAACAACAACAACAACGGCGACAACAACAACGATAATAATAATAATAACTGCTACTACTATTGCTACGACGACGACGACAACAACAACAACAACAATAACTATAATAATAATATTTAATAGCATACATTAATGATAAGACAAAAGGAACATTTATTTCAACAAAATGTACTTATAACCTAGCAAGAAGACAAAAAAACTTGAAGTACTACGGAGAATCACATGCATTAGTTCCCTTTGTCGGAAAAATTCGAGCTTTACTTGTATATAATGATTAAAATCATCATTTCCATTAATAAAACCAATAGGGCCATAATTAAAACTAAGTATAGTTATAATATTCTTAAAGCTTCTTCAAAGGTAAAGGAGTGTGGAGGGTTTCGGTTGTCGGCATGGAAACATGGTGGCCGGGAGAAATGGAGGAAGAAGAAAAAAAATTGGG